GTTTGTAACAAGGTGTCAATCCATATCTGCCAAGTGACCTGATGTAGGGGGAACAGTCCCTATTCTGCTCTGTGTCAGTGTGTATCATGGTCTCTGAGGACAGGTGTCAATCCATATCTGCCAAGTGACCCTATGTAGGGGGACCAGTCTCTATTCTGCTCTGTGTCCGTGTGCATCAGGGGCTCTGAGGACAGGTGTCATCCATATGTCAAGGTGTCAATATGTCATATGTCAGGTGTCAATCCATATTCATTGTGATTTAGGAATGTTAGGTGATTTCTGCCCTTTATGGATTAAAACCAGACCCTGTATCAACTGTGTAATTTTCCATGGGAGTTTTGCCATGGATCCCCCTCCGGCATGCCACAGTCCAGGTGTTAGTCCCCTTGAAACAACTTTTCCATCCTTATTGTGGCCAGAAAGAGTCCCTGTGTGTTTTAAAATTCGCCTCCCCATTGAAGTCAATGGCGTTTCGGGCGGTTCGCCGGTTCGCGAACATTTGCGGAAGTTCGCGTTCGCCGTTCGCGAACCGAAAATTTCGGGTTCGCGACATCACTACACTTAACGCGTTTCACCCTTAAAAGGCTTCAGAAGTGTGGATAAGGTCCTGGTGCCGTCCAAATAAATAGGAACTTCATTAGAAATTATATTCTTCTTGTGTGTTGTACAGATTACTTCCTGTTTCATGTAATCGTCGTTGACACGCACGCATCACACCGGAAGTGACGCAGCGTCATATTGTCCAATTATGTAATAGAGGATACTTCCTATATGCTGTGACCAATGGTGGAACGCACGCATCACACCAGAAGTGACGCAGCGTTAGGAGACCGTGGTGATGTATGCTTTCCACCTATGGAACGCAAAACTATGCCAAAGTGGTGTCGCTGCGTTCCAGGCTTTGAAAAAGAACATACAACCAAATAAGGAGTCCATAAAGGGGAAATAGTCCACAGTATATGGGTATAACTTAAAGACCTCTTCACAGTATTTTAAATCTCTAAAAGTGAAGGTATCTTCAGTATTTATAAAAAGAGCAAAATAGACAAGAACAAGTAAAACAAAATTGAATAAATAAAAAAAAGAAATATACAATATAAAGATAAGAATAAAAATAGAAAGGACTGTGACAAATGTTGGATGACAAGAATAATTTAAATTCCAATATTTAAAGCATAAAAAAAAATTAATGTAAAATTTATGTATTTTTATCCATTTGCATATTATATATAACACTGTCTAGGGCGCGGTTTCCTTTTTTTCTGTTCACATTATCCTGTTACAAGGTTGGGAGTCCTTGTATTGGTTACTGCTGCCCCTTCTTATGGTTATGTTACTATAGTGAGCGCCTAATCCTTTTGTTTCTCATACACGTGATACAGTTGTAGATACAGGGTAGAATTGGGGCTTGGCATACAGTCTGGCTGTTAATCACATCCCCCCACTTATTACGTGCAAACACTGAAACATGACTTTCAATGCGGTCTTCAAGATCATTTATAAACATGTTAAATAGAAAGGGTCCCAGAACAGACCCCTGAGGGACACCACTTGCCACCTCTGTCCAGCTTGTGAATTTACCATTAAGGACAACTCTTTATACTGTTTTTAAGCCAATGTTCTACCCAAGAACAAGCATTTTCATCTAGACCGATTTCCTTGAGTCCAAATAGATCACATCCACTGCAACACCCTGATCTATACTTCTACTTACTACTCCGTAGAACGCAATCAAGTTAGTTTGACATTACCTGTGCTTCATAAAACCGTGCTGATTTTTGCTGATAACCATGTTCTTCTCAAGGAATTCTTGAATATTATCCCTTAATAACCTTTCAAATATTTTACCAGCCACAGAAGTTAAGCACACAAGTCTAATTTCCAGGCAAGGATTTTGAACCCTTTTTGAATATAGGAACCACATCTGCCTTCCTCCAATCCTTCCTGAAAGAAAAGAATCTTGAAAGATTAAAAACAGAGGTTCACTTATTTCTACACTTAGTTCCTTAAGTACTCGTGGATGGATACCGTCAGGCCCTGGAGCTTTGTTTATATTAACTTTCTTTAGTTGCTGCAGCACCTTGTCTTGAACTAACCAATAACAATTATTCTGCAAGTTTTTAGTAGCAATCATTTGCACATCTATGGCCATGGGTCCTTCCTTAATATATACGGAGGAGAAATAGTTTGTAACGAAACCACTTGCACCCTGACCGGGTACCTTCCGTTGATGGATGCTCCTAGTGCTTCCCGATGACTCCAAGCACTCCACCAGACACCATAACCACTGTAGACTCCCATGAACCGCCGCAGCTTGGTGGGGTCTCACCGTCTCCATCCACTCTAGACCCAAGACCAGGGTCCAGCTTCCAGAAGGTCAACCTCTCTGAATTCCAGAGAGCAGAAACAAACTCTTAGCAGAGCTTAGTGATTATACCCTCGTGAGTATAGTGATTATAGCAATCCCCAGAGTGTAGTTCTTCAATCCCCCAAACATGAGCCGAAAATTCATGAAAGTACAAGATAATCTCTCCAATGAGCGTTTTTATTAGTCCTTATATACACACACACACACAAGTTTTCAGGCCAGAGGCACACCCCTGGACCTGGTGGTAAACTGTGACAAAAGGGACACAAACCAATGGGAACACTAACATAATAACACTCCCACATACACAATGAAATCCCTCCTCTCCATCCTGGAGATAATTGGCTTAAGGCACTGCAGTAAACGCAATTATCTCCAGGTACAGAAAATATCTACATTTTACACTAAAAGCAAAAATACGTAAAAGTCAAAAGATCAACGTTGTTGGTTAAAACTAGGTCCAGACAAGCGTCCATTCTAGTTGGTGCTTGTACAAGTTGTGACATGAATGTGTCATTTAACAAGTTTAAAAACCTAATTCCCTTTGCTGAGCTGCTAGTCCCTCTGTCCCAATTTATGTCTGGGTAATTAAAATCTCCAATAATTAAAGTGTTACCCAGATTTGCAAATTAATCAATTTGCTCAAACAGCTGTTGTTCGTCAATATTAACATTAGGTGGTTTATAACATATCCCAACCAATAGTTGTTTCCCTTCTTTTCCCCCAAGCAGATGTTTACCCATAAAGCTTCCACATTTTCCTCATCACATTCCACTTACTTCAAATTTGGATTTAACTCATGGTTGACATGCAAACATACCCCACCACCCTTCTTGTTTTTCCTATCCTTCCTAAATAACATGTACCCATTTAAGTTAGCTGCCCAGTCATGTGTCTCATCCCACCATGTTTCAGTTATACCCATTATATCATTGTTTAGTGTATGCTACTGCTTCTAGTTCCCCCATTCTGTTATTTAGGCTCCTTGCATTAATACGCATACATTTAATATCATGAGTCACTTTTACTTTGTGAATTATGAACATTACATACCTTTTCTGTTCTGAGCTTGCCCCTCCCCCATCTCCACCCCCTTATACTGAGCTAAAGCCCATCTCCTTTCTGTCCTATCTCCATTTTGTAGATTGCTATGACCCTCCCCCCCCTACTACTAGTTTGAAATCTCCTCCAACCTTCTAGCCATCCTATCCCCCAGCACTGCAGACCCTCTCCCGTTTAGGTGCAATCCATCACTACTATAAAGGTTGTACCCAAGCGCAAAGTCGGCCCAGTGCTCTAAAACCCAAAACCCTCCTTCCTGCACCAAGACTTAAGCCACGCATTGACCTCTCTAATCCCTCGCTGCCTTTCCACTATAGCGCATGGCACAGGTAATCTCAGAATACCACCTTGAAGGTCCTTTTCTTAAGTTTGCTACCCAATTCCCTGAAATCATTCTTTAGGCCCTTCCATCTTTCTTTATTTGTACCAACATGGATCATGACCACTGGGTCATCCCCATCCCAATAATCTATCCACTTTGTCAGCAACTTGCCGGACCCGGGTACCTGGGAGACAGCAAACTGTCTGGTTGAGCCAATCAGAGCGGCAGATTGCCCTATCTACTCTAATGATAGTCCCCTACCACCACCACCTCCTGTCTTGCTTTCCTTACATTTTGATCCCCACCCATACTAGAGGGGCTGCTACCTTGGCTGTTAAAGTAACAGCTTCCTCTAATACAGCTACTCCTGAGCTGATGCTCCCAACATCTTCACTCAAATGAGCAAATCTGATAGGTAGCACTACATCAGGACTAGCTAGCCCTTTCCTCTTCCCTCCCCCTGCTTCTTTGCCCCACTGTCACCCAGCTACATGCCTGTTCCCCATCTGTCTTATCTCCACCCTCTCAACTACCTGTCCCCACTAAACTCTGCTCAGTGAGCAGCAGACTCTTTTCAAGACTGTCAATCTCCCTCTCGTGATGTCCAATCAGAGCTTCCAGAAAAGCCTCTCGCACACAACAGTCAGAAGTATGGACCCTGGACGGATACATCCAGGCATGCATACATGCAACAAGATGTGCATTGACTCAAACCACCAATCTTGCTAACACTCATTTCCCCAGATACAGAAAAATAAGACAATTACCTTGTAAGTTTAAACCCCTTGTTAGTTTCAACTCCTGGTTTTATAACTCCTCCTTAATAGTCTGCTTTAAAGTAATGTGCGTAAGCTCAGTGGGTTAGTGGTGTGCCTTTATGGGGATATAAATCCCACACAGGTGCAATTAATGAACACTCCCCCAATCAAGCAGCACAAGAGAGGTGGGAAAATCAGAACACAAAAAAATTCAAGTTTTTTTTTTACTTTACCAATAGAATAGATTAAACAAAAATAAAATGCAAACCACTCCAAGCAACGCCTGGTTTTATAACTCCTACTTGAAAGAGTCTACTTAATAGAGTCTGCTTTCAAGTAAGGTGAGGCTAACTCACCATGTTTTCCAGCTTGCAAATATCTGGAATTGATGGTCTTTGTTTAAAGCTTCCAGCCATGGAAAGCAGCCAGTGAGAGCTACATATAGGGTGAGTCCAAATGCCCAGACATCAATACTTGGACTCAAGTGTAGCTACTGGTTAGGTTCCAGAATAGAACGCTCAGGTGCCATATCTTGTATTATATGAGACATCGATGGGATGAATCTACCAAAGCGTTCCGTTAAACCAAAATCTCCAGTCTTGATGTGGCATTCTTTACCCATAAGCAAGGTGTTGTCTGGTTTCAGATCTCTACGCACTAACCCTTGATTATGGATGAAAAACAATGCTTTGGAGATTTGAGCAGCACAACGCTTCACAATGTATTCTGGTAACCCAACCTAGAATATTAGAAAAAAACTATTTCAGTATAATATCCAGTAGAGACAAACCTTTTACAAATATTCCCAAAAACATTAATAAATCAGCTGATAACTCTAACAAAAGTATTCCTCAAATTTTGTGTTGTAAGCAGTGATTTACACATATAATATAAAAGTGGAATCAAAGAATATTCCCCCACAGCCCAAGGAAGGAGAGGGGGAACACACTCTGCTGGCTTATAATTGAATAAATAGGGAATAATGCAAAAAAAAAATTGCAACCTATTAAAATATGCTTAGATCCCAGGAAGCTAGAAGGGTAACCTGCTCATGGCTACAAAGTCTCCCATAATATCCCCCTCCCCGGAGACCCTCCTTGGTCCTAATACGGATCTAAGCTAGACAAAGTCAAAGTGCTAAACAAAAAGTGCCTCCATAAGTGCAATAAAGTGGAAATAGAAAAAAACAGCCCGTCGCGCATTTTGGTGTTGAAGATGTGTCTGACACCACACCGAAACGCGCGTTGGGCTGGTTTTTTTTTAATTAAGGTTTTTTTAGGGGCATTAGGGAATACTATATTAGCATGGACGTTGCCAGACTTATGACAGAGAAGCTAGTGATCCGCTCATGCTCATTTACTGTTCTACTAGCCTTTACCTAATCTGCATTTAGAGACCATGCTATATTAATGTAATTTCCTGACTACTCTGTATCTCCCAGACACCTTGTTCCTGGTATTAGCTCAGCGCACTGCTTAGGTGAAATACCCAAGAGCCATTCAGTCTGTGTTTTGGAGGCATATCTTTAGCCCCTACTGACTGTTCTTTTTGCATTGATGTGGATTCACCTTATGCTTTAAATAGCTGGGTTGATACTTGCTAGTATTTTAGGGTCCTGCCCTGGCACTGTCTCCTGATATACCCCTTTTTATGTTGTAAATCAATAAAGTAGTTTAGTTTTGGATATTATGGGAGACTTTGTAGCCATGAGCAGGTTACCCTTCTTCTAGCTTCCTGGGATCTAAGCATATTTTAACAGGTTGCAGTTTTTCCTTTTTGCCTTATTCCCTATTTATTCAATTATAAGCCAGCAGAGTGTGTTCCCCCTCCCGACACTTGGAAATTAATTTCATCTGCCTATTGTTTTGGCTGTGCCAGTGCAGCAAGATTTACAATGTAAATAAAGATAGCCAACTAAAAGTTGTGTGTTTTTTTTTTTTTTTTATTAATCAGTTTGTGCAAAAAGTGTGATTTCTGCTTAAAGTACAGGTTGTTATAGCCAGTAACTATTCTAGATATTGTATGTTATTAGATGAACACACACACACACACACGTGTGCCAACAAAGTCTATGTACCTGCTAGCTTGTCATGAGCCAGTAAACCTTCTCCAAGCTTTTCAAGAACCTGGTACTGCTCTGGAATCATCTGGATCTCTTGGTTTTTGGATTTATTTTCCATTGCAATGAGCTGGAAGGCAGGTTCTTTACTCAGATCTGAAGCGTAGACCTGAGGGTGCAAAACATTAGTTTTAAAAACTGCTTTTTTATAATCTATTCTAAGTAAAGATAAATCTTCATTACTAATATTTAACCAATGTTTTGCTATAACACGTTTAACCCCTTCACGCAGTCATGGCTGCAGCCCCCAGAGCGCCTGGGATACTTACCTTCCCGGCGCTCCGCTTTGGGAGGACTGCCTGACAGCCCTCCCACGGCAAATGAGGCCCCCGGGGGCCATGTGATTGCTCTCAAAGAGTGATCACCTGGCCCCCTATAGCTGGCTGTGGATCTGCCAGCAGGGGGACTGTCTGAAATGTCAGTCCCCCTGCTGGTGGAAAGTGTAAAAATAAAAAAAAATTTAAACATGTTTAAAATAGATATATTTATAAACGTATAGTGTGTGTATGCGTATATATACACACACACACATAGTGTATTTTAATAAGTACATATTAGTATTAAAATACACTTAGAATGACGTGTGTGTATATTCTTTATAATTACAATAAAAATAAAATATTGAAACAAATATAAATTGTATATTCATGTAATTTCATTCTAACTTGTTTAGATATAACAAAATACACTTAGAATGACATATAAAAAATACAAATAAGCGCATATATATATACACATATTACATTAGTATACACGTAGAATTTAAATACCTATAAATGCATATATTAAATTTCTACGTGTATATTTAAGTAATCTTTTAACATAATTATGTGATTTGATTAAAATTTGATTAACATGCCTGACACAGGGAGAAAGTGCAGAAAATTTAATTCACAAGCACTATTTGACCCTGTAACTCCAAGACACCAAAAAACCTGTACATAGGGGGTACTTTTTTACTCGGGAGACTTCACTCAACTCAAATATTAGTGTTTCAAACTGGTAAATTGTATTACAACGATATTTTAAGTAAAAGTTTTTTGCATTTTTTACAAACGAACAACACTTTTATAGACTTTATTGTTGTAATAGGTTTTACTGTTTTAAAACTATTTGTGTTTAGTGAAGTCTCCCGAGAATAACAGTACCTCCCCCATGTACAGTGGTGTTTTGGAAAGTTAGTCACATATAAGGCTTGCATTTAATTTGACATTGTAATTTGCCAGATTGGTTATGTTGCCTTTGAGAGCGTATGATAGCCCAGGAATAAGAATTACACCCAGGATGGCATTCCATTTGCAAAATTAGACAACCCAAGGTATTGCAAGTGGGGTATGTGCAGTCTCTTAGTAGCCACTTAGTCACAAACACTGGCCAAATATTTGTTTGTGTGTGGAAAAAAGCAAAAAACTAATATGAATGCTAACTTTGTCCTGTGTTTGTGGCTACTAGAAAAAAAAGACTAAACATACCCCACTTTCAATACCTTGGGTTGTCTTTTTTTCTTTCAAGTGGTATGCCATTATGGAGGTAATTCTCATTCCTGGGCTACCACACCGTCTCAAAAGGTAACATTACTAATCTGGCAAATTTCAATTTGAAAATGGAATGTTATATATTTGACCCTGTAACTTTCCAAAACACCATAAAACCTCTTAGTAGGGGGGTACTGTTGTACTCATGAGACATCGCTGATTACAAATATGTGCATTATTTTTGCAGCAAAACCTAACAGTATTATGACATTCACAGCTAAAATGTCAGACAGAAATACAAATTTAAAAAAACAATTTTTTTTTAAATTTTATTCATAATAAATTATGTTCCATATATGAATAGTTAATGATAAATGAAAGCCCTGTTTCTCCTGAACAAAATTATATATATGTGTGGGTGCACTTAATGTGACAACGGTGAATTACGGCTGAACAGACATATAGCGCAAATTCCAGTTTTTGTTTACGTTTTGATCAGAACGTGCACTATTGACTCTGTCCTGAAGGGGTTAACAAACTGTCAGTGAATGCTAATATCCCATGTTAGCATCCTCTGTACATTTACCAAAATTAATCAGAATACAGATTTTGTAATCTTTTAAGACATTGCAATCTAACACTATGAAGTGAGGAAACCTAAACTACAAGACAAATCAGCCCATTCCATGTAGAACAATTCTCTCCCACTCCTTTTCTCCTGCCAAAGAGTAGTTGAACTTCGCAAACACAAAAGAAATAATGAAAGCATGGTACAGTGTGTATCTAGTAGTTTATGGAAGAGGACAAGACCAGTTCTTCAGTGTGGATCCATGGAGAGATCTTCCTCCAGAAAGTGGTAAAAAGACAGCAAAATGCATTTATAGGGTGTGTTAATAAACCTGAGGAATATTAACACAATTGGAGAGACTGTATAATGTACTCTAGACATTAAATGTAAAAGTAGGTAGCACTTTATATAGATAACACGTAAATGCAAATTGTATATTTAATGTATAATTCAACAAATAGTATTTAATAGATTGAATTATTCTTTTAACCAAATCAAATATTGAGCTAAGGTTTGGAAATCACCTGTTAATATTCTAGAGTGTCCTGACTAACCCCAAATGAATTAGATGCTATGAATTAAAGAACAGAACCAGTTTTACAAACCAAGCTACACATTAAAACATTTATCTCTCCACCTACTGTGTAATACAACTTTCAATCACGCTATAGGTTGACTGAGACTTACGTGACATTTAGTCCAACATACACAGAGAATCAAATGTTAATTATCCAACAGGAATAATAATCATGTACATGTTTTTCCCTGAACATCTAATTGTTTAACCGAATACTGAAATAGAAAGTTTTGGTTTCATTAAAAAAAAAAAAAAGACACAATGGAAACTAGATGAGCTGTAGACCATGTCTATCTCTACAGTTTAGCCTACTCTTTGCAACTTATCTACATATCACCATAATGTATAAAAAAAAATTAACCACACTCCATTCAAACATACTGTATCAGGTTATAAGGAAGTGTAGATCTTACCTTTACAATATTACTATCAACTTTGGGTTGAGATATCACTTTGGAATATGGCAAACGTGATCTTTTTCACAAGTTCGACACGTGGAAATTGTCTCCTAGAGTCCATGGTCTTCAAGAGGTTCCTGCTAAACTAACAAGAATACAAATACTGAAGGCTGTAAGCCTGCTAATGGTCTTTTATAGGAAAACTGCCCTGACTTAACCATAAACCCCCCCTGAATTAAATGAAAATTGAGTATCACACCAATAGCCATGGTCATGTTAATAGGTGTGAAGATTTCTATTGGTCAGTGTTCAAGCAGTGGGTGGAGGAAAGTGATTATAAGTAATATGTTAATTAGAAATAGACACTGCAGTATCTGTTCTATTAGCATTATAATTACCTTTTTAAGCAAAAATTTTAAAGAAATGTGTAATGTAAACAAAGCATAAACCTTGGAGGGAAACTTAAATTATACAGTCTAGGTATGGTAAAATTTTAAGCAATGTAAAGTTATTTATTTATCATTATTATGTTTAGGAAGCTTAAGTGTCAGGATTACTAGTTGATCCAGCATGTAGAATTGTGTCACACAGATGACTAATAGGTAACATATTATCGGGCCTTAGAATGGCCGGACTTAACGTGCCAAAGAATAGTCGGGATACTTGCCGAGGTCAGGGATACAGAAAGAGACAGCCAGAAGTCAGGGATACAGGGAAATCAAAGTCAAACACCAGAAGAAACTAGAATCAGGCACACACTCTCAGACCACCACAACAGAGCACTGAACAGGATGAGAACTGGGCCTAAATACCCCTCCTCTAGATCTGATAGGCTGTAACTGGCCTTTGACCCCAAAGGCAGTTACCAGGTTTCCATTTGCATATTTGCTGCTCAGCATTAACCCTTCTGTGGATTTGGTGGCTGCTCGGCACAACTTTTCCTGTGTGGACAGTAAATGTCATTAACCACATTTTTATAAGCGGATGAATATGTGACAAATTTTCTTAGAAACTTTGAGACCTCATTCATCAACATAGCTTTTTTATATGCAAAAGTTGAAAATGCTGACTGTGGAGGTTAACAAATGCAGTCTTTATTAAACTGGAGTACTGCAATATTATTGTGTTTCTGTATTTATGAAATTTTTTTTCTTTGGATAATTTATAGGTTAGATTTTAAGAGTAGAAATTGATCTATAGTTTTTCACTATCTAAATTTAACCTGACCTCAAATTTTGATTGACCTTAAAACTGCAATATTTTATGTAAATCACTAAACAAACCTTTCCTTACTAACCAAAGTCACCAAGCAGGCAGCAAAAATATTCAGGTTTTTTTAGTTATTCCACTAAATTTATTTTGCTCTTAATTATTGGTGTCCTATTTATAAATATATATTTAACAATTTTTTTTTTAACTATGTGGTAAAGACAACCAACTGGCTTTAAAATAGCCTTTTATTCTATAACCTGCCTAAATATTAAACCATACTATTCTACCAGCTGTAACCTGCTATAAATCTCATATATTGTGTTGTTGACTGAAAACTATCCAATACTTCTTCACATATTGGTATTTCTTTTTACCCCAAATTATTCATTTTTGAAGCTCCTAATGTAACTTGCATGAACCCTATAGTGTGTATATTCCAGAGATTATCAGGATGGGGGTGTTGGGTGGGATGGGCGAGTATGATTTCTCCAAATAACTCACAAAATTATTATGGAGGGTGTGCATTCATGCTGCATAACCTTCAATTAGTTTGGAAATAATACTTTAAGAGGTGATTAAAGATACATTTTATTATGAAGATTGTTTGATTCCCACAGTTTTTATCTACATACAGAGTTAACCAAATTCTATACCTGCCTTATAGTACTACTATACTAAGAATGACCATGAGCATTCACCCAGTAACACTAACATTTATTCCATTACAGGCAATTTTTCTTTTTTAGTCAGTGAAACTAAAAAAAAGCATGGATGGATACACTATATCTGGCATATGAACAAGTATGGAGACCAGGTAACAGAAAAACAGATAATTATAACAGATCAATTTTAATAATTTAAGTGGATATATTACTGGACTACTTTATGTAGGAATACAATGTATTATTATTAGAAACCTCATGAAAAATTAAGAGTTTGAGACATTCCTGACAATTTAATAAACTTTTATTGTGGTGAACAGAAAACACGTTTTAATAAAGTATATAAGTATACTGTATATTAAAAGTGCTAGGTACAGTGATTACTGAAAAGACAAATGTCTTTAGACATGACAAATAACTAATGAAGATATATACTAAAATACAATAGTAGCTACTCAAATATGCAATAATTATTTTCTGCAATTTCATTGACTAAAGGGTTTGGTGTGATACGAAATTTAATGCACTTATTTTTTTCCAAACGTATTTGCATTTCAACTGAGTTAGCTGGTTAATTACCCACAACCCATTGTATTATGTTTCGGCATTGCCCATATTAACAGATTTCATTGTCCAATGAACAGCAGTTTATTTTTGTTTTATAAACTGAATCTTGGGGTTACTGTTTCTTGTGCTAATGTTATTTAATTTACAGAGATTATAATTCTGATGTGGTAAATTAAAAGTAATTTTAGTCCAAGAAACCGTATAAAAATCTCTTTAAAATCTACATTTAATTTTTACATTTCATAATCGTTCTTAGCAGAATCTCAATTATATTGCAAACACAAGAACGGATATAAAATAGATTTTCTATATTCGATGCAGTACGGCCTCCTTCAGGAAAAAGGTAAAGCTTTGGTTCTGCTATGAAAAGAGATTGGGCAGACTAGAGTTGTGGAAACTGTTCTATTTGTTACCTTTTCTTATGACACTTTAATAGCAACATGTGAAAAATAGGAGTAATTGGTATCCACTTCTATCGCAAATCTTTATTTGAGCCATATTATACTGCCATATCTAGAAGTAATATTACTTGTAGATCACATTTATTAGGTTACTTGGAAGCTTCAAGTAAGATGCTGTGTTAATAGCTCTGAGTGTCACAAATCATTGCAGCTCATTCTGTGCCAACCTTCAGAATTGTTACATTAATCAATTTTCAGATGTTTACAGGACAATTTTTCATGTAGTCATATTATCAATATTGTATGTTTTTACAGACTTTGCTGCTAGTTTAGTGGGATCTTGTTCTATATCTCATTAAAGTTTGTCCCCTTATATTGTCCAACAAGATAAAAATAAGACCTAACTAAAAAGTGCTTGGCGGGATTATTTTTTCCCACACACCAATCCTCCTTGAGACTAGATATAGAAATTTATTTTTAAAATATGTGCGGACACAACTGTCATGAAGATTATTCCCCTCTCTTCCCCCCTCCCCCCCCCCCTCCACTAGAATGTTTGTTTGTTGAGAATCTAGTTTTTTTAATCAAATTACCAACTGATAAGAAATGTATTTCAGAAAAATCCTTGGACAATACTGGAGTTTAACCAACTTATTGCAACTTATTATTCGTAATATGTCACAATTAAAGCTCCTTGTTGAAGATAAAGTGAGTCCCTTTTGTAGGACACTCACTTCAAGTCTGTCAAACATCTTACTTGATAAGACTACATTATATAATAAATAGTTAATGTGGAAAGCTCTGTGTTTTCCATTTAAACTTTTTTTATTGAATTCCTCTTGAATTTTCTTTTACAAATTTAAAACAGATAGCATATTATATTATAAACGATTCACAATGGATCCCAAAAGTCAACATTATTAGTCATTAACAGATACATATCAATAACCATTATACTAGGTGCTTCTACTAATTGAGAAAAAGGTGTAAATTCTACTATCCGACGTCAATGTCTAGATAGTAATATCCAGGAATTATTGTTTTTACTCGGAAGTACAACTTTTCAATTTGCTCTAACAGTTGGTTTTCTGGAATAGTCAAATTTTGGGGGTTTCTAAGATACTCCTACAACTACAATATTTCTCCTCTTGCCTCCTAACAGGATTTCTACCCAAAAGGCCTACACATTTTACTTGTATGCAGGGCTGACACTACCTTGAGGTGGCACAAGAAACTGTCTTAACCTCTTCTAACCTGGAAAGGCGGTGGGGAGGTGAAAGGAATGAAAGAAGTAAGTCGCTATAATTACAGTGGCAAACGTTGCGATCCTCTTTTTTCCTACAGAGCACTGCTATTATGGAATAACCTTCCAGACACTTTCAAGTCTTCCCCCAGCCTAAAATCCTTTAAGAAATCTCTACATATCTCAAAACAGAATGCACCTGTAATCATGGTTGATTAAATTTCTTACCTGTTCTGTATTAAATTTATATATGTATTGTGTATTAATATTATTTAGTATTTTGAATATTCTATTGTAATGATGTAGTGTAAGTGGGCCCAGGACATACATGAAAGTTAGAGGAATCTCAATTATATCTTATAAAATATTTTATAAATAAACAAATAATTAAATACAAACCTACCTTCACATACACGGCATCCTCGAAGAACTGAGGTCCTTTTACTACACTTGATATCCATGTAAAAGTGTCATGACATATAAGCTCTGCCATTGCTTCCTGTCCTTGGCTGACAAGGCGCTTAAACCTCTCACCTATTAATGTTCAGCTCTTTGTATCTCCATGGTACATGCAGGTAATTGTAAACAATGCCACCAGACATTCTAAAGGAAGGATCCAGTGAAAGTAAACTGGAAAACATAACCAATGCTTCCCTGGTGAAACTCTGCCGGGAAACAGGGGGAGAGTCTAACTCGCCGTATGTTTTCCAGCTTGCAAATATCTGGAATTGATGGTCTCTGTTTACAGCTTCCAGCCATGGAAAGCAGCCAGTGAGAGCTACATACAGGGTGACTCCAAATGCCCAGACATCAATACTTGGACCCAAGTGTAGCTACTGGTTAGGTTCCAGAATAGAACGCTCAGGTGCCATGTATGGTATTATATGAGACATCGATGGGATGAATCTACCAAAACGTTCTGTTAGACCAAAATCTCCGATCTTGATGTTGTGGCATTCTTTATCCATAAGCAAGATGTTATCTGGTTTCAGGTCTCTGTGCACCAACCCTTGATTATGAATGAAAAATAATGCTTCGGAGATCTGAGCAGCACAACGCTTCACAATGTATTCTGGTAACAAAACCTAGAAGATTAGATAAAAACAATATTTCAGTATAATATCCAGTAGAGAGAAATAAACACATTTACCAATGTCATTTTCAAAAACATTTTAATAAATCAGCTGATAACTCTCCTAGCAAAAGTATTTCTCAAATATTAGTTATGTTGTAAGCAATGATTTACACATACAATGTATGCCATACATCAATTTCTAAAATATATATATTGCTGAAAACAGATTAATTTCAGCTATTTCGATGGTTGACAATGTAATTCAGTAAAATATCCAGTAGAGACTAACGGAGCTCCTTGTACTCCGACTGAGTACCCTCCGTTGACGGATGCTCCTAGCGCTTCCTGAGGACTCCAAGCGCTGCAGCAGACACCACAACCACCGCAGACTCCGCAACCGCCGTATCTTGACTGGAGTCTCGCCGTCTTCCTTCCACCCTGGATCAGCTTCTGTCCTCCAGGACTGTGTGGGAAAGAACTCTTCCTTCCACCCTGTATGAACCTCCAGCATCCAGGACTGTGTGGTGAAGACCCCTCCTCCAAGGAGAGCGTGTCAGGAACAAGCTCTTAAAAGAGCTAAGTGACTCAAGCTCAGGGGAGCATGCAGAGCATAGCAATCCCCAGTGTGATTATAACAACTCCCTCCAATAACGAGACAAGGCTACGTTTAGAGGGATCAAGAAGAACTGTCAAAACCTTTATTTCCCTTGGGACCAGCCAATAGGGTCACCACAATAACATTGTTGTGAAACCTCAATAAAATCACAAACAGTTAAACCATATCAAGAAACACACAGTGACTTATCACAACACAATGGCACATTTTTAAAGGGGTGGGGGGAGACAATATTTAACAGTAAATATCTCACCTGCCTGCAGAATTAGCAATATGCAAATCTACCCGAATATGCAAATGAACCAGTCTTGCAATTCAGGTAGTGCATATTGCTGTTGCTACCAACAGAGGGCACTAGACAAGCTCCATAGCCAAACTCACCTAGTTGGTAGCAAACCTCAGCAGTACAGGAGAGCAGGCAATACATTTCACAGTACACACACACTATAAACAATTACATTACACACACCCTGCACCTATAATGGGTACAGGGTGACTAAAACATAAGATAAATAAAGCAGCCTACATAAATAGTCTGTCTGAAGGTAGACTAGGGGCTTTAAAGCCAGATACATGAAAGAGTCATAGTCACAGGGGAGGAGGCTGGCAAGTAGGCCTCTCCAGGACCAAGTGGCGAAGGGCACTTCGTCACAGAGACAAACATACCAATATTTTCCAAAAGATTATTCTAATAAATCAGCTGATAATTCTCCACTAGCAAAAGTATTCCTCAAATTAGTTAGTGTTGTAAGCAGTGATTTACATACTTGTTTAATTATCAATGTATGTCATACATCCAGTTCTCAAGGATGTATGCTGCTGAAAACAGAATATATTTCAGCTTATTTTATTAACAAAGTAATTAGCATTTAATATTTTTTTATGAAGATGGCTGTGTTTATTAAAACTTATTAAATCAACTTGAACATTGATAATTATTTAACCAAACTAAGATGCAGCTAGAACAGGTCTTAGTAACCAGTGGCCATCCTGTTCTTGGTGATATACAATTCCAGCAAATCTCCTCTGCCAGATTTTGTTATAGTACATAGGGTATCAAGTTACCCATGCCTATATTAGCATAGAAACTCTAACAAAACCATACTAATCTGCTGAAAAATACCACTGAGACTGAGGAGCAATTATACAGCTTATGTTTCTTAACTTCTCAACAATAATGGATTCAAGAGTCCCTGCTGTTGCCACCTCCTGGAACTAGATGTAGTGGTTCAGGGTATCTAAGAAGTAGGGATAAGTAGTAATGATACCCCTGTGATGAGCAAGATAGACCGCAACCTTGAATTCCTTGACAAAGGCATTTTGGTGGGTTCTCTCTTTCTTCAGTGTTAGCGCCACAGTTTTAGCGCATGAGCGCTCCCCATAGGAAAGCATTGAAAATGCATTTCAATGCTTTCCTATGGGGAAATGAGCGATGCTGGAGGTCCTCACACAGCATGAGGACATCCAGCGACACTCTAGCACAGGTTTCCTGTGCTCAGAACCCGGAAGTGCCCTCTAGTGGCTGTCTACTAGAAAGCCACTGGAGGTGGAGTTAACCTTGCAAGGAAATTATTGCAGTTTATAAAAAAAAACTACAATAATTACAGTTACAGGGTTAAGAGTAGTGGGAGTTGACACCCAGACCACTCCAATGGGCAGAAGTGGTCTGGGTGCCTGGAGTGTCCCTTTAAATATAATACTACTATTAAGACCGTTCTCTTTAAGTGCTCCAGTATTTATTTCCATGTGCCTCGTGCGTGCACGCGACACTTGGAAATTAATTTAATTTGCCTCTTATTTTAGCTGTGCCAGTGCAGCAAGATATACAATGTAAATAAAAAGACAAAGTAACTTTTAGTTGGCTACCAGGTTGTGCAAAAAGGGAAATTTCTGCTTGAATTACAGGTTGTTATAGCCTAACTATTCTAGATACTGTATGTTATTAGATAAACACACATGTCTCAACACAGGCTTTGAGGTTAATCAAACTGTCTATGTACCTGCTAGCTTGTCATGAGCCAGTAAAATTTGACCAAAGGTCCCTTCTCCAAGCTTTTCAAGAACCTGGTACTGCTCTGGAATCATCTGGACCTCTTGGTTTTCAGATGTATTTTCCATTGCAATGAGCTGGAAGGCAGGTTCTTTACTCAGATCTGAAGCATAGACCTGAGGATGCAAAACATAAAAAAGTAGTTTTAAAAACTAATCTAGGATAAGTAAAGATAAATCTTCATTACTAATGATGCTAATATTTAACCAATGTTTTTCTATAACATGTTTAACAAACTGTCAGTGAATGCTAATATCCCATGTTTGTTAGCATCCTCTGTACATTTACCAAAATTATAGTTTTGCTGTTCTGAATCAGAATACAGATTTGCAATCTTTTTTAAAACATTGCAATCTAAAGCTATGAAGTGGGCAAGAAAAATCAGCCCATTCCATGTAGAACAATTCTCTCCCACTCCTTTTCTCCTGCCAAAGATAAGTTTAACTTCGCAAACACAAAATAAATAATGAAAGCATGGTACAGTGCATCTCTAGTAGTTTTTGGAAGAGGACAAGATCTGTTCTTCAGAGTGGATCCAGGGAGAGATCTGCCTCCAGAAAGTGGTAAAAAGACAGCAAAATGCATTTATAGGGTATGTTAATAGACATGAGAAATGTTTTAATACAGTTGGAGAGACTATAGAACAGATGGCCAGTGTATAATATAATATAATGAAGACATTAAATGTAAAAGTAGGTAGCACTTTATATAGATGTTATTTGATAATAAATGCAAATTGTATATTTTTATAATGTATAATTCATCAAACGGTATTTAATAGATTGAATTGTTGTTTTAAGCAAATTTTGAGCCAAGGTTCAGAAATCACCTGTTAATATTCCAGAGTGTCCTGACTTACCCCAAATTAATTATGCTATGAATTAAAGGACAGAACCAGTTTCACTAACCAAGCTACACATTAAAACATTTCTCTCTCAGGGGCGTGGCCTAACTGCTCATGGAGACTGACATCTGAGCACTTAGCTCTGTACGAGAGTCCACTAAATCAGCGATAAGCAAAGAGAATACTGGAAGATATTACATCCAAATACAGCGGGGGAATTGCCCGACGTATTGGCCCAACGCTCCTCAAAGAAAACCAAACTGAAAACAACATCCTTGCTAATCGCGGCCATGCAGTCACCACCACGCCACGCACAAGATGGTGCTGGAAAGACTCTATCCCCAGCTTCCAGCTCAAGCAGAAGCAATGTCACATCTATCTCGTCCAAGGCTATCCCTGCCACAGACTCCTCCATACAAAAGATGTTAGACGAACCAAGCATGTTTGAAAGCTGACTTCACTCAAATAGCGAAAGAAATCCGGACAGACTTACAAACCTTAGGGGAATGCACCGACTACCTGGAAAATAAAACAGATCATCTCTGCACACAACATAGCTGCAGCCTACAAAAATATGGATGCGAAATTAGCATCGATCATCCCGAAGCTAGTGGACCATGAGGACAGGGACCGACGGAACATCCGTATCCGCGGCATCCCCGACGACATTAGTACTAAAGACCTGTTATCATATGCCAAGGACATGTTCCAATGACTAGTTCCAGAACTCCAGGAGGAGGCATTACTCCTTGATAGGATTCACCGACTGCCTAGGCCAAAACATCTTTCAACCACTTTGCTGCGAGATGATTGCCAGCCTACTCTACTATACCACCAAGGAGGCGATAATGCAGGAAGTGAGATGGCAACCAGTACTCCCTGACAGTCACAAGATCCAACTATTTACA